ACGAAAGTAGTGTTATCCTTTTATTGCTTTCTAGTTCATAGTTGCTAAGTTGTTTATTTCTTTCTTTTCCTTCGAGTTCATTGCTAGGGACTAGCAATATCTAAGTTTGGGGGTGTGATAAGTGCTCCAATATGATGCATTTTAGAACCTAAGCTAAGGTATTTTAGTCCATTCATCTATCTTACTTTCATGTCTTAGATACTTATTTGTATTTTTGCCTATTTTAGGTTAATAAAGTTCAAACTGGCTAACAATAGCCATTTAGCTCAATTTTGGAGCTAAGGAGCAAAGTTGGAAAGAAGCCAAGAAAAATGCACCAGAGGAATTTCGATCGATCGAAGAGAAATCCCGATTGATCGAAGAGGTCGACAATCGATCGAAATGAGGCGGTGCCAGCTCAGCCAATTGGACAAGGCCTGGAAGATATTTTCGAGCCACTTCAGCTTCGATCGATCGAAGCTAAGTGTTCAATCGATCGAAAATCTTTGATCGATCGAAATGTCTGCTAGCAGTGAGCTATCTAATTCCCAAGCACGCCGATTTCTACCTAACTTGTGTAGCTGCAAATTTCCTCCAATCATAGGCTGTAATTCTGACTTGGTCTTTACTCAAAGGAGTATGTAATTGATTTATTGAATATTATTGTATCATACCAAGAGAGATAGATATTACTAATTATATAAAATATTTTCCCTCTCTCTAGAACTAGAGTTTTAGGAAGAAAGTAAGGATGAAGATGATAATGCCAACCTCCAAGCTAGCCCTTGAGGGTTCCATGACCACTACAATGAGTGGTTAAATCCTTTTCTTGGGGCTAGAGATAGACCCTAGGCATGCTTCTCAAACCTAACTTTTGTGTATTTTTGGAAATTTTAGTTGTAATAGATGTTTTGACCATGAATAAATATAGATCTTGTGATTTCTACTTGATTTGTATGAATTAATGCTTTCAATTGATCATTTAGCTCTAGTCATATGTCTATGTATGCTAGAATTGATGTTCATATTTTTGTCTCTAGATTTAATGAAATTGATCAATGTCTATGTGTGTTGATGATGTTAATCTAGTAATGGTTAAGGCATGGTGCTTAATGGAACACTCTTGTGATTTATTTGATGGTTCACTCTTGTTTCTTGATGGATTGTATCACATCTCTAGTTTAATTAGTTTAATTTCATGTCTCTAACCTAATTGTAGTGTAATTGCTTTAATTTATTAGGTAGGTGACCAATCCATTCTTGTTTCTTGATGTTCCATACTTGTGAATGCAAAGAGTGTATGTCTCTAGATATTTGTGCGTGCATTGATTGTGATTTTATTGAATGGATATTGGTCTCATTTAATAGGTTGTACTTTTTATTAAAATTGGCTAGACAATCTATACTTATTTTTCATTTATGCTTAGTTTCAATTAATGTCATACACACACAAGTTGCAATTTAAATTTCTCTATTAATGTACAATTGCTAGTGTTTGATGAAGTGAAGCTTAGTGATGACTCTAAGCCCCAAGACCTCTCTCCTATATCTTTTCCTTATTTTCTCGATTGCTATTTGCTTGCATTAATCTTAATTGCATTTTAGTTTACTTAATCAATCATCCACCATCTTTGATCACTCGACCTACTAACCTGACATTAATTTCTAAGCACAAATACACCTCCTTTCCCTTAGGACGATCCTTGCTCACTCTAGTTATATTTTTAGTTGGAAGCGGTAGTGGCATTTTCTAAATTTAAACTTGGCCACAGTACACACTTCTATATTTTGTGCTCCGTGTTCGACAACACACTATAACATCATTCACATAATTTCAAAAGTAAGTATAACACCAATGCACCATATTATCCATATCACCTCAAAAGTAAACATAACACTTATATACATACATGAAGTCTACAAAATCAAGTAAGCACCTTAGCTACCTACTAATATCACAATAACAAATCCAATAAATATATTAGGCATAACAACAATAACCATATCATTAAATTGCCATTTTAAAGCTTCTTTAAATCAAATATAGAATTCTAAATACCCCCCCCCCCCCCACACACACATGCATGTATACACAATCTAAACTCACAAAACTCAAAGAAATATAACCTTACATACGCAACACACCCCTACCTCATTGAGATGAAAATCTCAAAACTCCAAAAACGAAAGTGCTTCAATCGAGCTACAACTTTGAAGGGTTGACAAGGATGACGATGAAAACGATAAACCCTTCTATGGCCGCCCCAAAATCCGACTTCAAACTCACCCTTAAATCTCAAAATGCTCTGAACTCAAAACAAAAGTAAGGGTTTTGAAGCCCTTGGTGTCCCTGACCTTTCTCCCTTCAATGGCAAGACATTAATCCAAGAAGAAAAAGGAGAAAATCAAGCTTGAAAGCTTGAAGAAATGAAAAGCCATGGAAAAGAGAGAGAGAGAGAGGCGAGAGAAAGAAACGTAGGAGATGAAGAAGAGAGATGTTTGGCAAACAATGCCCAAACACTCACACAAATATCCCAAAAGTCCAAGTGGGTCCTGCTAAAGACCAAAAATCGCCTAAAAGCCCCAAAACCAAAATATCCCAGAAAGTAATAACGATAATGCCCAAAAATAAAATATGATTTTCAAAGTGTCCCAAAATAATAAATACAAAATGTTGAGAATAATTCCCGAACACTTGACTTAACCCGGTCCCACTTGACCCGAAACCTAAAAATGATTAAAAAAAGAAAATTGGGAAAAATAAAAAAAGGGATAGGTCCTCACAGATCCGTTGCAATTCCATAGGCGAGTATACATATCGTAACGGTCATCTTCTGTATTGGAGTGAACCCCATAGACCGAGGGTATTGGGTTTCTGGATGAACCATTCGTTATGTACTATAACACCGTTCAAAATGCGAAGAAACAACTATCGTTACATCCGGAACCGTTTACGAAAGGTGTCTGATGGAAAAATATGGCTTTCAGCAAAATAATCTTGGAATAGCCGTTGCGCTGCCTCCTCTCAACCGCATTTAATATATTTTCTCTTCCAAGGTCGAAAGAATGCCCGCACCCTATCAGGCGATAACAACATCCTCACAGCATTCATCTATTTTCAATGGATTTCAAAAACATCTTCCCCATCTGAATCTTACGAATTGAATGGAGAAAATAGAGAAATAGACTCGGGCATTAGAATAGATCATGCTGATGAAACCATTGTTGTTTGTATAATAAAAATGAAGGCTCAAAGAAGAGTAAATGGACTTGAAGAGTAGACTTGAGGATTGAAAGAAGATAGAATGAGTGGTTTATATAGAAATTAAAATAAAGATGTTGGGAGTATAGCCATTGGGAAAAAGACAAACAAACAATTGAAAAATAATTCAATAAATAAATTTAAAAATAATAAAATAAAATATTATTTTTTTTCACTTAACTTTTTAAATAAATTAATTAAAATAATAAAGTGGATAGCCAAACAATGGGTTGCACACCATGTTACAAAGTTAATAAAAATAAGTGGATAGCTGGCAATCCACTTCTCAAAAAGTGCATAGATAACATGAGGAAAGAACGCCGAATGCCCTCCCATTGGTGTGTATTTATATATATATATATATATATGTATGTGGGTGGTAAAGTCGGTGAAAATCAGTTGTTAATTATATCATTTCCCAAAAATAATAGAGAAATAATATTTGCATTTCAGTGTGGGCTATATTTGCTTATTTGATGTTGCTCTGTGGGCTACATGGAGGGAAAGAAATGGCAGGCTTCATGGTCAACTTCTAATGCTCATGAGAAAGTGGCTAGGAACATTTTGTTGGAGGTTCTTCAAGTTCATAATGCTACATTGTCTGATAATCTTAGCTGAGTGTTGGTTCTTAATTTGTAGCTCTGTTTCACTCCTATGTTTTTCTTAGAGTTTTTTTTTTGAAACTTCTATTGTATATTAGTATAAGATATGCCTTTGTGCATCTGTAATTATTGTTTTTCTTTTAATACAACACCAATTATGAAGAAGAAAAAAATTTGCATTTCACTCTTTCCGAAAATAACATAATATTTCTTGAAAAATACACTCACAAAATGACAATTAATAATTATGTGAAAAAGTTTCCATGCACTTCATTCCAATATCGTATGCCTATTTGCGTAAGTATAATAATAATACTAAAAAGGGAAATATACTCCTTTTATTTTCTTTTATTATTATTATTTTTTCCGGCCAAGAAACTATTCCCCCAATGCAATGAGTTTGGGAAGATTCCAACCTTCTATCTTTCGCATTGAAAGAAAATGAGATGTTACATGGGTTTTCATGATAGAAAAATTATCATCAAGACCAACATTTTTTTTTAAATAAATAAATAAATCTTATAAATTTTCTTTAAGACCGATAACTTATATTTTTGAAAAAAATAAATTCATTTAAATTCTAAATCACTCAATCTTCCATTTATATTCTTAGTATATAGAAGTAAAATTTTGTATATAAATTGAAATTTTGATATATAATATAATCTTCTTACATATTTCTTTAAGCTCGTTTTTTTTTTTTTTTTAAAAGACAAGAAGGGTTAAAAGTTAGATTAGTAGGTGCAAACAGTCAAAACCCGGTACTCCCAAAATCTACCGGAGGCACTAACCACTGAACTATCGAAGTATCGACATATTTCTTTAAGCTTTAGTCGTTTAATGAATATTGCATTATGAGTTTAAATAATAACTAAATTAATTTATATTCAATTAAAAAATATTGTTTACAATGCACAACTACTTTGATATACAAAACTCAGCTATTCTATAAAAAAAATTAGTCAACAAATTTTTTATTTAAATATTATATCTATTTTGTAAAGGTATAGATGAAGGTTTTAATTTAGTAAGAGTAATGAAATGCAACATTTAAACTAGAATTTCCTCAAAGAAATTTATAAGACCAATTTGTCTTTTGATAGAAAAAATGAATTTATATATTTATATATAAAGGGATTCACACGCTTGCTAAAACCGTCAAAACGGCCATTTCTAGGAAACCAAGTACACACAATTTGCAAGTCAAACGAGAGACACAGCGACACAGAGCTAGAGAATGGAAGAGGCCGTGGAGCTGCCGGAGTGCCCTGTGTGTCTGCAACCCTACGACGGCGAGTCCACAAACCCTCGAGTGCTCGCCTGCGGCCACACAGCCTGCGAGGACTGCCTCACGCGCCTCCCCAAACCCTTCCCTCACACCATTCGCTGCCCTGCCTGTACCCAGCTGGTCAAGGTCCCTCACCCACAAGGCCCATCCGCTCTCCCCAAGAACATCGATCTCTTACGCTTCTCCTCTTCCCTCCAAAATCAGGCCGATAATCCTCAAAATTCTCTGAAGCCCCCAAAACCCAAGAAAGAACAATCTTCTTCGGTAAACGATCATCAATTCACACCGAATTTGTGGTCTAGTGAGTTTTACTCTACATGGAAGGATTGGATTATACCGAAGGATGCTGTTTTGGTTGAATCCGTACCTGAAGATCGGTTTTGTTCTGTGTTCTATGGAAGGATTGTGAGTTGTCCAGCTACCTCGGTGTTGCCCATCAGGTGTTTGTTAAAAGAGAATCAAAAGGTGAGTCTGTTTAGAGTTGGTTGTTTTGTTAGTGACAATGATTCGAAGTTTAGTTACAGTTATATGGCCAAAGTTATGCGAACTTTGCATGGAATGAAAGAGGAAGAAAGAGCTGAATTGGGTTTGATTTTGAGGGCTTCTTGTTCGAGACTTTGTAGAATATGTAAAGTTTGTGGGTTTTGGTATAATACAGATGACCAGTGTGTGTATATGGTTTGTGAGAGGTATGGTGGGAGTTTATCTGATAAGTTGGGTGATTGTCTTGAAGATGAAAGCAAAAGTTCCCTAGATGCATTGAATTTTTCGATGATTGGTATAGAAATATGTGAGGCATTGAGTAGTTTGCATTTGGAAGGATTGATTACTGGTTGCTTAGCTTTAAGCTGTTTCACTTTGGATGATTTTGGGCATGTTTATGTCGACTTTAACGAGGTTTTGGCTACAGGAAAAAAAATTCGTAAGATGATTGCGGAGGGTGTTTCAGGTAAACAAAAAATTGACGATAAATCAATGGAAGTAAATTTTCTAAATGATATACAGAAAACTCATGCATTTGTTAGTCCAGAACTGTTGTTTGGATTATTACAGAAAGAGGGCATTGACTTGGTGTGTGGCAGCTCTAGATATTCAGTTGGGTATGGTTCAGATGTTTGGTCATTGACTTGCATATTGATTTCGATTCTTATTGGTAACCCTTTTATTGAAGAAATGTGCATTCTTTTATTTTGTCTTACTCTAGAAGCTAGTGATGGAAAGGGTTCGCATAATACGAGTTTGCACAAGGGTTGGATGGAAAAAGTTAGTATGTTATTGCAAACTAAATTGGGTTCAGAGTTTGGATCGCTGCAGGAGATACTCTGCAAAAGTATGAATTTTGATCCAGGAAGTCGACCAGTTGTAACTGATGTGTGGAAAAGCATCCGGGAGTTAATTATTAAACGAAATTTCAATATTTTGGTCAGTTCAGAGCCATCCATTATGAAGGAGAACATGGGCAATTGCTTGGCTCTTGGAGAATTGCTACAGTTACCAAAGGAAACCCACAAATTACCAGGAAAAAATGGCTTGAAGGTGGGAGATTGCGATGGTAGAGCAGATGCTGATCAAGTTGGGGAAGTAAGGGTTGACGGAGATCTCATTGAGGGGCTCTCTGGTGGTCATGTCAAATGTATAAACTTGAAAGGTCATCTTGATTGTATCACAGGATTAGCTGTTGGAGGTATGAATTCTACGTGGTGCTTTGAGATATCATACACGATTTTAATTGTTTTTCATATTTCCAAAATTGATACTAGTTGTTCAGTTATTTGGGAGTTAAGACTGGCAAGAATTTCTTGTCTTTGTTATGGGCCAATATCATTTCAATAATTGAAGTGCCACATTTGTCCAGTTGGTGATCATCAGCACACTAAATCCTAGTGTGAAGTGGTAGTTCCAAGATATATACTGGTGGGGCTTGAATTGGAGCTGGTTTGGCCCGAAATCAAGCTCATTCCGAAGTCCATTTTAACGAGCTTGAATTTTAAATTTTAATCTGAATTTCAAAATGGGTTGAATATGGATCTTTAATGTAATCATGAACGGTTTCAGCGTTAACCAGAGATCCGACCCTGCCAAACATATTTAACATTTTCTAGAATCCTGTTTGGATCTGACCCTGCCAAGCATATTTAACGTTTTTTAGAATCTTGTTTGGATTATATGGGTCGGATGGATGATGTCTATAGAATCCGGATCCGAATATGGATCTTGACAGTTGACACTGAAATAAAGATCTGGACTTGGATGCTTCATGAGGCACCAGAGTCAAGTGACTTACCCACTTGAGCCAACTCCTTGGGGTTAGACCTGCTCTATTTCATCTCCTATATACCAGTGCAACTGCAGGGCAAATCTTTTTTTATATGACATGAATGCCTCTGTACAGTGATGTGGTTCTCTGAGATTAGGGATTTGACAAACCAAATAACTGTGAACTGGTGGTGACATTTAGCCTTTATGGTGTTTGTTTGAGCTAATGAAAAACCAATAGAATTTAGTTTATGTGGTTGCAAAATGCAGTGCGTTAGGTGAGTTCTTATTTGTAACCAATGTAGCACATATTCTATCCCAGTCATACTCTTAATTTCTTTTGAAATAGCATAACCATTTAATTCTGATGTCGTCTAATCTGATTCAATTTCATCATTTCATTTTGCTTTCGGTGTTACTCACAGATTTTTTAGTTTTGATAGTGAAAGTAATAACCTAAAATAAAATAAAAAAGAAGTAAGGTTTTTGTTGCAATACTTGTGTATTTTAGAAAAGCTATTTTGATTTCATGTGCATTGAAGACCTTTCGAGTTGAAATACATTTTCTTTTCTGTTGTAGGAGGTTTTCTGTTTGGCTCCTCTTATGATAAAACAGTCCATGTGTGGTCTCTGCAGGTACACACCTTAAAATTGAATCTGACTTCAAGTTCAGCTTATATAAACTCAAGTGCATAATCATAAATTCTTATGTCTATTAAGCTTACTCTATTGATGATAATAATAATGATGATAAAAAATTTTATTTTTTGATAAGTGATAATAACAATTCTTTTTTTTTATAATAATAATAACAATAATTTTCTAAAGAAAGAATAGTACTATGGAAGGGTAGTTCCCAATGAGTCTTTACCACTCAGAGAGTTCATAGCTATGAAGGCACAGTCAAAGGAGTGTGTTGCATAGCCACAGGTCAATTATTAGCAGCAACCTATGTGCAGATGTTTATGTGAAGGAGTCGCATCTGCCCTTCTCTTGTGCTCTTTAGATACTTCTGCTACTTCCTAGACATAACTCTTTAAATTTTTTCTCATGCTTCTTTTGTTGAAATAAGGATAAATGGGAATTTTTATCACTTTTGTAACATCTTCCATATTTGTCTATACTCTTTGACGCGTGACTGCATCTCTTGAACACCGGAATGTAACATCTTTAATATAGAATTAGTGTTAATTGGAATACAAAATATAATAAGCATTTAAGATACTTAGATTAGTGTTATTAAAGGCTCAAGGCGCACCAAGGCGATAGAGGTCCTTTGGAGCCTAGGCGTGAGGCGCACGGCAAGTGGCGCTCCTAAGTGAAGCGAGGCGTACAATTGAAAATTTAAATTACTATAAAAGCATTCATATCTCATAAGTCATATCAATAATCTAAAAATTAATACCAAATATTAAAAAGTAAATCCGTCAACTATACAAGCATCCAAGAACCATAAAACATAGCACAAATTTGTTTCCTTGAAAGGCAAAACAGAATTTGTTTTTTTTAAAGGCAAAGCAGAGCATAAAAAGAAATAAATCTTTTAACCAAAAAAAAAAAACTGTTAGCAAGAAAAGGAAAGAAAAAATTGAGCGAAGAGAGAGAGTGTTAAAGACATAGCCCCCCCCCCTCCCCAAAAAAAAAAAAAGAAAAAAGCCAGAGAGGGAAGAGAACTAGATGAAGAGAGAGATGTGAACAAAGATGAGAAGAGAGAGAAGCAGAAGAAGAAATAACTGATGTGGCTTTTTGTTTTTTGTTTTGAACAAAAGTTCCTTCTTGGGCTTTCTTATTTGTTTATTAAGTTGCCAAAAGTACCTTTTTGGCTTAAGAAATAGAATAATCATTTTTTTGAAAAAAGAAAAAGAAAAAAAAAAAACCAATGAGGCGCGCCTAGGACAAGGCGCAACCGAGGCGCGCGCCTAGTAAATGTCAATGTGCCTAGAATGACAGCAAGCGCTAGACCTGTGCCTCGAGCTTAGGCGTGCTTTTAACAACACTGACTTAGATCAAACTTCTCGTGAACAACAATTGGTAACAAGGGTAATCTGACCACATCTCATCCCAAGTCCATACAAACCTTTAGTGTTTTTTTTTTTCCTGCTACTTTGAATATTCTTGGTGAGAAACTAATATATTTGATAAATTTACACTTATCAGAAAATTAATCAATCAATTTTATAAAAATGATTATTTATCGTTATATAAAAAAGCATATGATGGGTGCTAAGAGATATAATTCGGTGCGCTCTTCAAACAAAACAAATTTCTATAGAAATGATAAAGATTATTCAGGATATGTATGTAATACATAAACTAGAGTTGGCACTACATGCACTGGTGATTTTTCTTTAAAATAGGATTGCACCAAGAGTTTGCTCTATGTCCATATTTATTCACATTAATGTTAGATGAAATCACAAAAGACTTCTGGTGCTTGTTGTTTGCCGATGACATAGTAGTGTGTGTTTTCTTATGCCGATGACATAATAGTGTAGGTTTTCTTATTCATTATCCCTGTAATGAGCTTCTTTTGTGCTTCTACCCTTGCAGGATTTTACTTACTTGCATTCCTTTAGAGGTCATGAACATAAAGTCATGGCTGTTGTTTTCGTAAATGAAGAACAGCCATTGTGTATAAGTGGTGATAGTGGAGGTAGCATTTTTATTTGGGGCATTAATATTCCATTTAGTCAAGAACCAATAAAGACATGGTGCGAGCAAAAGGATTGGCGCTATAGTGGTATTCATGCCCTTGCCACTTCTGGCACTCAATATCTCTATACTGGCAGTGGGGATAAGTCTATAAAAGCATGGTCATTGAAGGTGATCATATACTACTTGCTTGTGACATAAGTATGTAGTTGATGTAGAATTGAAAAATTATAATATGCTCTCCTTTTTTATCAGGATTACACCCTGTCATGTACTATGAATGGCCATAAATCAGTTGTATCTACTCTATCAGTCTGTGATGGGGTTCTTTACAGCGGAAGTTGGGATGGAACCATCCGATTATGGTGTCTTAGTGATCACAGTCCTTTGACAGTGTTGGGGGAAGATGCACTCGGAAATGTGACCTCGGTTTTGTCTCTTTCTGTTGATCGGCATGTGCTCGTCGTGTCTTACGAGAATGGGTCTATAAAGGTATTAATATTTTGCTTTGTTACTTGATATAGAACAGATTTAATAATATTGTTGTGGTTGTTTGACACTGCGTGAAGTATTGTGGTACAATTTTGATTGTCAATGCATGAATCCTCATCTTGGTCATGTCATGTAATCATAGAAACTGCCATCGAAGGATGGTAATATCAGTTGTTTAAACAAATTTTTTTAAATAAGTATACTTTTTAATATTGTTATAGGGGTTGGTATATGTTATTGCTGTGAATTTTAAAGAACTGATGTGGGTTTACTAATAAATTTTATTTGTAAGCGATCATTTGATTCCTTCTTTGTTTCAATCAGATTTGGAGGAATCACGTGTTCATGAAAACCACTGAAGCTCACAAAGGTGCTATATTTTCTGTTGGCATGGAGGGCAAATGGCTTTTTACCGGTGGTTGGGACAAGACTGTTAATGTACAGGTACATATGCAGAATGTTTATTCATATAGATTCTGTTAATGTCTTCATATTATTCTCCTTCTATACAAAAGTTGATTAGCTTGCTGATAATAACCAGACGACTAATAATAGTAGCATTTGAAAATTCTTCTTTGATCTTGGCTTGGTCGTCCATTTTTAGATTAACTATTTTCTGTGAATTTTTAAAATCCTTTACCAAAGTCACATTAGAATTTAGATCCAGTTCATTTCTTTTCTGGCTCACCACATCACTGTTTTGAATTTGTAGGAACTATGTGGAGATGATTTTGGAATGGATGTTGGACAAGTCGGATCTATTGCTTGTGATTCTGTTGTAACAGCTTTGTTGTACTGGCATGGAAAGCTTTTTGTTGGACATGCTGATAGATTGATCAAGGTATACCATTATATTTGCTTTTTGCCATTGAGAATCCTATTTGTTGAAGCAGCATCTATTAGTGTGAAGTTCTTGTGTGCATATTTGATATATAATATTTCCTTTTTTTTTTTTTTTTCGGTAAAATTGTGAGTCTTCCTTTTTTCTTTATATATGGCTGTCAGAGGGGCCCAAGTTAGTTAGCCAAGCGCACTCACGCAATATGGCTTAAGAACCTTGCACATATAGTAGTTCTTCTGTTGTCATATAAACCTTCAGATTTTGTGCCCCATATAGAAGACTTTACTGAAAAATTGGCCAATCCTATTTGTTGAAGCAGGCATCTATTAGTGTGAAGTTCTTGTGTGCATATTTGATTTATAATATTTTCTTCTTTTTTTTTTTCTTTTTTTTTTTCTCGGTAAAAGAGTGAGTCTTCCTTTTTTCTTTATATATGGCTGTCAAAGGGGCCCAAGTTAGGTAGCCAAGCGCACTCATGCAATCTGGCTTAAGAACCTTGCACATATAGTAGTTCTTCTGTTGTCATATAAACCTTCAGATTTTGTGCCCCATATAGAAGACTTTACTGAAAAATTGGCCGATAGGATGCTTTCTATTGCTGCAGTGACTGAGTGGGACCTCATTGATAGGCTATAATTACAAGGGGACCCGTTACGAAAAATTGTTTGTTTGCTTAAATTCAAAATCTAATATATTTTTGACGATATTTTCTAATTAACTTTTGGATGGATTGGATCGACTGTTATGTGATTAATTTCATGTTACCTAACTAAAGCATGTAGCCTAGTGGTATCTTATTTCCTTCCAAAGCTGAAGGTAGAGAGAGCATTGTGGGAGTTATATGCCAGGAAAAAAAATTCAAGTTACCTAAACTACGAACTTTTCTCTATATTTGGGTTGTATATTTGCCAGGAGTGGCATTTGGATTGCTGAAAGCCTGGAACAGTTTTTTACTTCTATTTTTATTTTTTTTTCATTTTGGTTTCCATAGCTGGAGGTGAATTCTCTGTTTAGAACGAAGTCCTTCACATCTGGATTAGAAAGAAAGTGAACTCACCACCAACGTGAATACAATGAATTGAAATGATTATAACTTCACACGAAAAAGTGGACTCATTTCTTTGCCACGGGAAGGAAAACAAACCGATTTATAAGCTTTGTGAAACTTTTAGGTCTATTATTGTGAAAGTTGGTTGTCAGCTTACTAACGTCTACGTGACAGACTTTATGGATTAAATGCTGAAACAGTTGTTCTATTTTGTTATGCCAGGTGCATTATTATGGATCGTGATATCAGACTCGCTCGGTTGATTTTTGAATGGAAATGCAACCTATAAGGAGACCTATCTGGTGGTTTAGGCACCGTGGTAGGAGTAGATTTTGATGAATAGTACATCAATTCTGCTATTATTCTGTTAGACTGTATAGTAAAAGATTTAACATGAAAATTGCTTCTGTTCGTAGTGTAAAAAATTATCTTTAAGAAAACAATGAGGTAAATATGGGAAAAGTACTAAGATTTGTACATCATAATTGCAAATAAAATGATGAGTTCCTTGGTGGACATATTTCTAGCCATTTCTTACTTGCTTTTCTTTTCAATTTGGAGAATTTCTCCATGCAAGCCTATAATGAATTCCTGAGTGAAGTGTGAAGGAGGAGTAGATTGCTGTAGTATTTTCAATAATAAGCTGAAAACTAAACCCTAAAGGGAACAATGGAACGGACTCATTTGCTCTCCCTTCATAGCATTGTGGGAGATCGCCCTTACTCCATTCCTTAAAGAATGGCGGACGCTACAATAGATGTCCATTTTTGTGGTCTTGTAGTGTTTTCATTGCACATTTAAGTGTTCTCTTGGATAAAACGTGGGGTTGGCCTAACGGGTGAGAACTTGGGTCATGGTGTCTTATAAAACATTAGGTCTTAGGCTTGAACCTCTGGGTAAATAATTTTCGTAAGAGTACAAACACCGGTTAACTTGTAGTCAAGTTGAATCCGAAAATTGTCCGGTCTTGCCCAGTGAACGTGGCTTGTGAAATGTTGCGTGTGTCTGGGGTAGATTTGTCTCGCCTTTGCGTGTGTTCGGAGGTAGATATGTCTAAACCGTAAAGGCGTGGGAAACCTCCTCTGTGAAGGAAAAAACAAAAAAAAAGTTTCTCTTTGGATTATTTTGCTGCATTCATTTACATTGGGTTACCAATGGGCCAGTGGCCTAGCGGTATTGGCCTCTTACTTCCCAAAGGACAGTCAGGGATTCAAGTCTCAGAAGAGACGTGTTTGTGAGTACCAACTAGGGAAAAAAAAATACATTGGGTTTAACACTGCTCTACTCTCCCATGTTTTGGCTATGGCGATGTTTATGAGTGCCTGTCTAGAGGTGTGACCACTTGAATTTAGAATAATTTTTCTAAATCTTGATTGAAAGCATGGAGTACCTATGAAAGATAAAGGGTAAATTACACTGACCTCCTTGAGGTTTGAACACGATTTTAAAGTTTTGCATTTTGTTGCAATGAGCTCCCTTGTAGTTTGCTCTGTTATGACATATACCCTCTTTTGTCCACAATTTGGTCAATGACGTCAGAAAATTTGGTTGCAATGATCAAATTTTGTTACAGATTGTATGTATTGATGAGAGAGGATGGGGAAATGGGAAGACAAATTAGGGTTTGACAATATTGGGAATGAATGTGGATACTTCTAAATCCCATGAGAAATAGCAATGCTGTGGAAATGTCATCTTCCTGACTGTAAGACAAAACCAGAAAAATATTATGATCAATATAGTTTCCGGCAACAAGGTGACTTCATAACTTTATTTTTTTACACCTTAAACACTCACATTTTTCATTAGAATAAACAAAATAAAATTCATACAATGTCCTCACAATTTTTATTTTATTTTTCTATTTTTTGGGCATTATTTCTCCCAACATTTCCATAAACGTATGACATATTTGCAACCAAATACCTGAGAGATCTAGGATTAGGGTCTGTTTGGTTAAATTTTTTAAAAACATCTCTCAAAAGCTTTGAAATCAGGAACCACACGTATATATTTAAAGTAAACTTTCATAAAACAATATTTCAAAATATGTCAACCAAATAGATTTCGTGCACAAATTCCTGATTTTCCAGAAAACATAATTAAATAGGACTGTTTGGATCAGTTTTCAATTTTTTGTTTTCAAGAATAATTTTAAAGTCACAATAAAAAACAAATTTCAAATTTTTGTCCCAAAATTCGGCTGCTAAAGTTACAATAATTTTCAGAGAACAAAAAACATATGAAGATTCATTTTGTTGTATCTACTAAAAATGGTTTTCTAAACTAAAAAGAAAAAGAAAAAAAATATATTTGGCATTATTTTCGATTTCGAAGTCAATTTTCCTATTACCACTCTCATACTTATTAGTAGTAAGTATATAGGGTGAGCAGTGCAATTTTATTTAAAATAATAAGAGTTCCTTCAGCAATCTGTTAAATAATTATTTTGTGTAAAATATACACGTATGATGTGTAATTTTTTTTTTTTTTATTTTATCTGCAGCAGTCTGTTAAGATATTGTCACGTCACCAAGATATAAAATTATTGTATATTTTACACAGCCACATATGTTACGTGGGGTCTTGACATGACATATGATTAATTGTTATTGGAGGATATATTTTTACACAAAATGTATAAAACAACCGCGGGAGCTAAAAATAAATAATGTAATTTTTTTGTGTAAATATATCATGACACATCATATTTAATATATATATACACACACACACAACAATTAGAGATGCTCTAACAATTGTCAGTATATTTTAATTTAAATGCCAGTGTATTTTATTTATCCGCTAGTAACTAAAAGCTGGCTTAAAGATTGAAAGAAGTAACAAAAACAAATAAATAATAATAATAATAAAAAAAACTCAAATAATCAGAAGAAGAGGATGTATTTTAAGGGTACCTCATCAATTAACTAGTATTCCTTCTGTCCCATAATAAATGGGTACTTTAGGAACTATAACTCACATTGACGGAGGGAGTAACAACATAACAAAAATCACTAAACCTTAAAATAGAACACCAACGTTGTATATGCATTTTGAGCCCAAGATATTCAGTTTTATGAAAATAATTCGTGAATTTGTTGAGATCAGCTTTTACTATTGTACAAAGTGAAAAAAAATCTCTAATATTTAAATTTTACGCAAATATATCACTACTATTTTTTTTTTGGATATATAAATATGTTAAATTTGAAAAAATGATTAAAGAATGACTTGAGGTCACTATTTGGTTACAAATTTAATCACATGCATTGCACATGACATTTTTAAGATATAAAATTATGAAAATACCATTTTTTTTTCTTCTAATAATGCCCTTATATAGAAGAAGAATGAAAAAGAAAAAGAATAACATTTAATTATTTTTTTACCCGTTTTAATTTATGGATACTTTAATTTTTTCAGTATTCAAATTATTGTCCGATAAAAAATTGAATGTTTAGGGATTTTTCAGAACTAATGGAGAGTTATGGTGTTTTTGACTTGAGACCCTTACTTTTTACAGCAAGAACCTCCTCCCTTTATCTTTAGCTCACACACACATACAACACATCCCCAATAAAATATTTTACTGCTCATTTATATTAATGACATGATATTACTAGCTAAATAAATATACATAAATGGCAGGAAGAATGACCCGTGCCGGAAGTCTTATCACCCATTAACCCTGAAAAGATTAAAAACCTTTAAAAAGTGTATCGAGAATTGTTTTTCTTGAGTTTGTTTAGCATAGATCAAACATCACATCTTTTGATCAAAATTCGAAAAATAATAGCTATATAAAAATTACAATATTATTTTTAAATAAATTAATGCTACGTTTGGTGTGTAGGAATTAAATACCTATTCCAATCATTCTTTTGTTTAGTATGCAACTTAAAGTGGGAATGACCATTCCATTGAAATAAAAATCCATTCCTAGGAAAGAAAATCCATTTCACAACTAAACCTATGGAATGACCATTCCATTCCCAAGTAATTTATTTTAAAAAATCGACTTCCCAAAACACCCTCATATTCCAAGTCCAAAAACTACCATTACCTTCCACCACAATCATCTCCGCCTTTCACCACCACCACCACTGCCACTGTCTTCCACCACCACCACTGCTACTGTCTTCCACCACCACCGATTTTCACCATTGCCCACCGCCACCACTGCCACTGCCACCGCCTTTCACCACATCTACCGCCACTGTTTGTCACTACCACCACCACCGCCTTTCACCACCACTACCGCCACCACCACCACCACCGCTGCCATTGTCTTTCACCACCTTCCACCACCGCCGCCGACATTGCCTTTCACCACTGTCACCACCTTCTACCACCACCATTGCTACCGCCTTTCACTACCACCTTCCACCACCGCCACCGTCACCGTCACTGCCACAGCCTTACACCACCATCGCTGCCTTTCACCACCATCGCCACTGCCACCTTTCACCACCACCACCACCACTGCCGCCGCCTTCCACAACCACCAACGCTGCCGCTATCGCCTTCCACCACCACCATTGCCTTTTATCACCTTCTATCACCACCACCACCACCATCTTCCACCACTGCCATCGCCACCACCTTTCACCACCACCATCGCCACCACCACCACTACCACCACCGTCGCCGCCTTCCACCACCACCACCACAGCCATTGCCACTGCCACTACCACCGCCTTCCACCACCACCATAGTCACACCACCATCTCCTGCCACCACAACCACCACACTACTGCCACCGCCTTCCACCAATACCACTACCACCTTCCATCACCACTGCTGCCACCAATTCTCACCATTGCCACCACCGCCGCTTTCCAACATCACCACCTACACTACTACTGCTTTCCACCGTTCACCACCGCCACTGTCACTATTTATTTTTAAAAAATTATTAGAGAATTTCATTTTGTTAATTTAATTTAATTTATTTGTTACTAAGTGGGATATTTTGGAGAATTCAATTAAAAATTTATTCCATTCTAAATTTTAAATTAGTCCAACTAAACACTATAATGGTTATTATCATTCCATTCTTACATATTTCATATTTACAACTAAACAATAGAATGAGAATGACCATTTGCATTTCATTCCATTCTCATTTGTATTTCATTCCATTCTCATTTGTATTTCATTCCATTCCTGCGTCCTAAAGGTAACATAAAGTTCTTAGAAATATATATATTTTTTTTTCCAAGGACATACCAAAAACAGGCCTTTGATTATCGTTCGTGTATGTAAAGTTGTAAACACACGGATAGAGCGATACAAGCATTCGTGCCCATCGTTCTTGCGCAGTTTGCAGCTTAATTGAAAGCACTGAAGAGAAAAAAAACATGGCACCAACAGTGGCCACATCTTCCTCCACCTTCGTGAGCCCCTCTTTCTTTCTCACTCCGAGACAACACCCTCCTCAACATACCAACTTCCTCTGCACCACACCCATCTCTTCTCAACCTTGTTCTTCGTCTCTCATTCGGCTTCAACGTCGTCGTTTCACTCTCACACCCATCACAGCGTCTCTCAAGGTGTAACATGTGTTCGTCCCCCCAAAATTCTTTAGATGCCCACCAAGTGTTTGTTTTTATTCTTCAATGAATTCTGAATCACAAGCGTTTTGTTTTCGCTTTGTTTTGTTTCAGCAAGACTTGGGTCGCATTTCGAGGACTTGGAGTGATTTTACCAGCTTAAACTACTGGGTTGTTCGGGACTACTACCGTCTTGTTAGCTCCGTTAACGACTTTGAGCCGGAGATTGAGAGACTATCGGATGAACTGGTTTGTGGGTTTGGATTGGTTTAGAGAATAGTTCTGTTGGTTTCTGTTTGTGGGTCGTTTAATTTAATTATTATTATTATTATTTTGGGTTGGTTTGGTAGCTGACTGCAAAAACTGCGGAGTTCCGTGAACGGCTGAGACAAGGAGAGACACTTGCAGACATTCAAGCTGGTTGAAATTGATCTGTTATTGTTATTAGTATTATTTTTTAAATAATAAAGTTCAGTTCTTTTTGACAAAATGTATGAAAATTTGAGATTTTCTTTGAAACTATGACGTCAGAGGCATTTGCTGTTGTTCGTGAAGCTGCAAGAAGGAAACTTGGAATGCGTCATTTTGATGTGCAGGTCTCTCTAAGTAATTATATATATATATATATATATATATATATAGTTGGTGTATTTTAATGCACCTAATAAAGATGGATCATCTAGCTGAGAAAAAAAAAAAAAAAAAAATTAAAAGAAAAAAAGAAGGTGGATTGTTTTGGTTAATCATCTTGCAAACTTGAATGTAGATTATTGGAGGAGCTGTGCTTCACGATGGGTCTATTGCTGAGATGAAAACTGGAGAGGGAAAAACATTGGTTTCCACATTAGCTGCTTATCTAAATGCCTTGACTGGTGAGGGCGTTCATGGTATGTATTCTAGATATGATTATTGCTTCTAGAGAAACAGCTGAGATATTCATTGTGTTTGTCAAGCCCACATTTTTTTGCATAGCATGTTAAGAGTACTTCGAGAATAATTAGCATGTAATTGAGATGTTTAATTTTTTTGTATTCATATAAATGCAAATGCTTGCCAAAGCTAATTCTGGTAACTGAAAAATGGTATCTTCGTACTTAAATGATGTGTTTGTTTATTCTTCTATATTCTCTTTTGGCAGTGGTAACCGTCAATGATTACTTGGCCCAACGAGATGCTGAATGGATGGGTCGTGTTCATCGTTTCCTAGGTCTTTCTGTAGGCCTTATCCAAGTAATTCCTATTTTAAAAATAATTTATAATTTAATATCATTTCCCCCTTTTTCCACTGGTGGATGAACTGGATTGAACTTGTGTCCTTAGCGAAGACAATTTTTTTTTGGTTATGCAAGACTCACTTAACTAGAACATATACTCTGCAGTTAGTTATGACTTTTACCTTCTGTTGCTTTAATATGTAGAGAGGGATGTCAGAAGCAGAAAGGAGATCCAACTATAGTTGTGACATAACATACACCAATAATTCAGTAAGTTATATTGGATTCCATGCGACACCTACTCTCTCTCTCGGTTTATTTATTTATTTATTTTATTCTTGTCCACTGTATTTGCTGTGAATCTGTTGTATTTGCTGGGCAGTCTTCTTGGATGTTATGTTGCGTGGTTGGTGCTGTTCGATAATTAGTATTCCATTTCCCTTTGAGTGTGGGGTACTTTTTTTTTGTCCTTTCATTTTTTTTTTTTGTATTTGCCGATTGCCCCAGGAACTTGGTTTTGACTATCTCCGAGATAATCTTGCTGCAAGCAGTGGACAGCTTGTGATGAGATGGTAAAATTTCATATATTTATATTGTCCACAGAGTTTGTATCTAGTCATCTTATTGGACTCTGATCAATGCTGTATGAACAGGCCAAAGCCTTTTCATTTTGCAATAGTTGATGAAGTTGATTCAGTCCTCATCGATGAAGGAAGAAACCCTTTGTTAATAAGTGGTCAGGTAATTTTGCCTATTCTTTTAATTGGGTTGCTTTTTAGTATTTAGATTATAATTATTATACTTCGCTTGTAGCTGTATAGAAATTCTCAACCATATAGAAACAGCTTGCTTTGAGATTATTATTTACTTTGGAGATATTTCATTTTCGCATCTCAGGCAAGTAAGGATGCTTCACGATATCCAGTTGCTGCCAAAGTAGCTGAACTGCTCGTACAGGGTCTTGTGAGTTCCAGTTTCTTACCTTATTCTTCAGTTAAAAATACCTTTGCAGCTGTCTTATAATTTGTCGCAGTAAAATAATTAAAAATTTGTATAAATTTTTATTATTATTTTTTTTTCATTCATTTCAACAGCATTACAATGTGGTGCTAAAGGATAATTCAGTGGAACTGACAGAGGAAGGAATTGCGCTGTCTGAAATGGCTCTAGAAACTAATGATCTATGGGACGAGAATGATCCCTGGGCTAGGTGAATATGGATTTGCTAACTTTTGTGTCACGTTTGGGATACTATTTATGTTGCTTAGGTACAAAGATGACAGACAATTCCTGCAAATTATTTAAAAATTATTTTGCCTTTTCTTTTTCTCTTCCTTTGGAACGGTCTTTCTGTTATCTAGAAACCAATGCTTCAACTTCTCCTCCTTGTATTTTTAATTATTTTTCTATTTTTTATTGGCAATCTCAAACAACATTTTTTCTTTCTTCTTCTTGCATTTGTTTTTGTTTTTGTTTGTGTTGTGCTGAGTATCTATAGATCAGCAATGTGCATTTGGCTCATTCCACTTCCTACTTGCCCTATGGTGGTTGAGGAGTAGAACTTTTTCTTTCACATATATAATGTGCATCTTTGGTCTTTTTCTATCCTCAAACTTTTTCAGCTTGTTATTTATCATTGAAATGTTGCAGCTTTGTTATCAATGCTTTAAAGTCCAAAGAGTTCTATCGTCGGGACGTCCAATACATTGTTAGAAATGGGAAGGCTCTCATAATAAATGAGGTATTTCAAGCAACTAAATAATATCATTTTATTTTAGAACTTCTGTACACAGTAGTATTTTGATAATTCACCTTTTATGTGGTCACTTCCTCTTGTTTCAAGTTCGAAGTAACTTCTGTTTTGTTTTTCCTTCTTTGAGTGTTTGTCAGTGATTGCATATTGTATTTTCAAAATAAAGGATTGCGCGTGCTTTGCCGAAACAGTGAAAACTCATTGGAGTACCTTATTTCGGGCATAACTAAGATTATGAAATATAAAATGGTGAATTTTTTCTGAGGAAGACAATCACAATGAGGTAGCAGGAGGGTACTAAATGATCTCCATTGCTCTACATTATTGTCCCAAGTGTTTCCATTAGCTACTTGAAAGAAAAAAGGAAAGGAAAAGGAAAAGTGTCCTCACATAACTAGTGTCTTCTGTCTACTAAATCTGCAACAGCCCACTCCACCACATGGTATGATATTGTCCGCTTTGGGCTCGAGCCTGCACGGTTTTATTCTTGAGTTTGACCCCAAAAGGCCTCATACCATTTGGATACTACACTAGCACATATGAGCACTTCACATTGGGTTTGTGCACCCGTAGCCTGTTAGCATGGTGGCCTGCCATTGTCTCGCACCTGCTTACAAGGTTGGGCCCCCCCCAACACACACACACACACACACACACACACACACACACACACACACACAATGTCCTTGTTGGCCACATTTCCAGCTAGGCTTAGGCTTTGATACCATTTCTAGTAGCCCACTCCTTTGATACCATTTCTAGTAGCCCACTTCACCACATGGTATGATATTGTCCGTTTTGGCTCTGAATCTACATAATTTTGTTATTGGATTTTACTCCAAAAGGCCTCATACCATTTGGAGACAACACTAGCACTTTTAAAACGTCACCTTTATTGTGGTGACCTTGTGGGCCCTTATTGAGGCGATGTGGGATTGTGCACATATAGCCTGTCAGTGCTTCGCACCTGCCCACACACACTTGCCCACAAGGTCGCCACAAAATCATTGCCAACTTTGGTAACCAATAAAAATGAAATAGTTTAGAGCATAGCAAGCTATGTATACCATTAATGATATGGAAGTCCCCTCTATTATCTCTGTGTGAGAGTTTGTCAAAGAATTATCTGTCTAAGCTGGCCTGACTCTTGTAGTTTTTGTATTTTAAATTACAATATGAAGAAAATGCAAACATAATATCAATTAATGAGGATATTAGTACAAGGATCAACATATGAATGGTATACTACATGAGTTCATTTTCTAGTTCTCTTTACTTGTGTATGCGAGGATGTATAGGATCGACACATCATATGTCCTTCAACAATGCTCTTAAGTTTTTGCTAGGAATGGTATATGTTAGAACATATGCAATGTGTCTTAGGACATATTTCAGTGTGTTGGCAAATTTCATAACAATGGAGTCTGTAACTTGAACAAAATGAGAGTTTGAGTTAGTCTCGGTTGAGTGTTTGATTGAGTCATGGTCAACTTATACGGAAGTTACAATATCAAGTGAAGCCCAAAAGCTGGAGATGGAAGTGATGGAAAGATCAAGTTGAAGTTTCTCATTCTTTAGATCACACTTAGGAAAGGTAGGTGAGACTGTATAAGTCATTTAGGTGGTAAAATTTTCTTAGAATTGGACCTACCTTGAATTTAGGTATTTTTGGACTCAGAAAGATGGAAAAAGTGCTATACTTTTTAGTCACTAAAAATGAATGGAAGTTTTATATTGGTCTAATTAGGATGTGAGGATTAGTAGGTTGTAAAATGATTTTAGGATGTTCTCTTCTGGTAGTTCTTTTATTGTGGGAGCGTGGTTTCTACTTCTTCTATTGCTTGGTTTTTGTTCTTTTTATTTTGAGCATCTTCTAGTGCTTTGATCATTCCTTTTTTTAAGTAACAAAATTTCAACTTATAGAAAAAGGCAAAGTCTTTGTTTGCTGGGCTAGAGGCTAGCTTCAGCTGGTTGATCGTAATCTTCTACTGGACCACTGATTCCAGTTCAAATACAAGGTCAATTTACGAATCACAGTACAGGTTCTTGTCCTTGCATGAGAACAATATATCAGAATGGTTGTGATGGAATTGAATGCGTAAGACACGTATAAACAAGATTGGAAAGGTTAAATTGTCATTTCAATCTTATGTACACAACTGCAGGGCTAGATACGTGATAGAACTTTCTAAAGTATAGAGTAGACTTCCTATCTAACCTGTTTTGGCAATAAATTTTCTAGAAAATGATAAAACATCCTTGAAAAGTTTTGAAGTATTCCCCAAGTGTTAACACGATAAGAGTAATTATTTCTTGGCAGAGAGATTGGTTAAGCTTATTAAATATTATGAACAAAATTTAGGCCCTGTAGCATCCAAAGTACTAGTTTTGGTTAATCACGAGGTGTTTGATTAATTAATTTTATTTCTTAGACAATAGTTATCGATTGACAAAAAATGTGATGATGATGATGACAATGATGGTGAGTATGTGATGTCTCATAGGCAAGACATCCCATTCTGCAGTAACTAGTAAGGTTATAATTAATAATTTTTTTTTTTGCAGTTGACAGGGAGAGTGGAGGAAAAAAGGCGATGGTCTGAGGGGATTCACCAGGCTGTTGAGGCTAAAGAAGGGTTAAAGATTCAGGTATACCTTGACAAGTTTGACTTTCTGAGGTTTGAGCCGTGTGATTCCATTGAAAGCCACTGTTTTTATTTAGTCAAATTCTAATTTCTGTGTTATTGTTAGGATGATTCGGTGGTTGTAGCACAAATCACATACCAATCACTATTTAAGTTATATCCAAAGCTTTCAGGGATGACTGGGACCGCCAAAACCGAAGTATGGACATTATGGATTTGGATAAATTATATTTTTGCTGGCTTATCATTCCCAATGTTTCTTATACATTTTTATTTTTGGGTTCTTGCAGGAGAAAGAGTTCTTGAAAATGTTCCAGATGCCAGTTATTGAAATACCTACAAATCTGCCAAATATTCGTAATGATCTACCCATTCAAGCTTTTGCTGTAAGATAAACAACATCCATAGTCCAAATTTATTGATATCTTTACCTTTGATAGAAATCTTTCACTTAATGTGACATTTGCTTTGGACTGTGTATTGTCTTTAGACTGCAAGAGGGAAATGGGAGCATGTTTGCGAAGAAGTTGAGTGCATGTTTGAACAGGGTCGTCCTGTTTTAGTTGGGACCACCAGGTATATTGTTGCAATTGTTTATCAATGTGATTCTTGCGCTTCAGTATCTATTTGCTTTGTGTAAGATTAGTTTGACCTACTGCCACGCGATTTCATTTTTGCAATTCAGACTCCTTATATATGTTTTGCATGTTGAACCTTCTGTGCACTGAAAATTCAACTAGAATCATTTTTGAAATTTCCCAGCATAACACAACATTTTCATATCAGTGAAGCACACATGCCCATACAAACACTGTCACTTATATCTCACGAGTTAACGCACAACCATCTTTATATATGCACAAGTGATTAAGAGAATGGTTAATTATTAGCTCTCTTCAGATTTTGAGGCAAAACTCTAAGCCTGAAAAAATGAAGAAAATGCGTAAAAAATGTTTGCTCAACTAAGAACTTGCCGCACAATACATTTGGTTTCAGCTATACTGGAGAAACAATGAGAGACATTTAAGGGAAAAACATTTGCTCAACGGGTGGGTACAAGGATCTTGACACGTATTTTTTTCTCTCTTTCATGGCTAGTTGGGTTAACTTAGCCTACTTAGGTTTATGCACCTTTTTGTTTTTTCATAAATACAATTTCATTAAAAGGTGCTCAAAGGGAGCGCACCCAAAGGAACAACAGCCAAAAAAAAAAAAAAAAAAATCTTGATATCCTCATGCTAAAAAAAAAAACACATGCGTGCACACACATAGAGAGAGTGCTCAGTATATACTACTTGAGCACATGTAGCCTGCATGGGGCCCCCACCCCACCCCAAAATTGATAAAATAACCACTCTTCCCCTTGGCCCATGGTAGCCCAATAAATTTTATTTTATTCTATGGCGTATAATTTGTAAAAATTTATAAATTACCCCCCATAAAATTATCTATTTCTAAAAACCTCTTTAATTCTTTAATTCTCTTCCTTTTTACTCTTATTCTTCAAATTTATTTTTTTTCTCTTCAAAATCTTTTGCATTCTCTTTCTTCAATTAAAACCTATATTTTTTCCCTTCAAAGTTCTCTCATATTTTTTTCTTCTTAAAAATTTATTTTTCTTGCACTCATGTATGATTTTTGTTCTATAACCTTATTTTCTCTTTTCTTATTCATTTTTTTATTCACTTATTCTTTAATTTTTTTGCACTTAGGGCATGTTTGCCAATCGTTTTCTGTTTTAGTTAGCAAATTGGTGAAAAAGATAAACAAGTCACGAAAACACATTAATGCAGTATTGTACACTATTATATTTTCGGCTTGTTTGTCTTGCTAGAAAATATTTTCCCAGGCTTAAGATTCCCCCCACCACCAACACCAACCAAATTTCTGGCTCCGCCCCTGCATGAGCACCCATATTGGACTTTCCACATCATCAAAAGACCTTCTATTTCTGTTATGCCACAAAACCCAGCAAATACCGCAAAGAACATGGCCCAAACATCCCTAGCAGTTGGGCAATGTAGAAGATGGCTAATTGATTCCTCATCCCACTTACACATGAAACACCAATTAATCACAATATGGCCCCACTTCCTCAAGTTGTAAAGTGTCAAGGTCCTACCCAAAGCCGCAATCCATAAAAAAAAAAACCCACCTTGAAAGGCGCTTTTGTTCTCCAAATCATTTTCCATGGGAAAGCTGCCGCATGGTCACAGTGTAACACCTGGTAAAAAGATTTAACCACAAAACCTCCATGTCTGGATTCCATCCAACTCGACTCATCAATACTCTCCCCATCCACAGTATGCTAATAAACAAAACCAAAGAATGAAAGAAAGGATTTTCTTCATCTTCCAATCCTGAATTTGCCTCCCAAAATCAAAATCCCATGTCACCTTTTTGTTATCAAAGCGTTAACAATTGGCCACCATGATTTGCTTCTCCACCACAATCTTAAACAATATAAAAAATAAGCATGCAAGTGGCTTGTCATCATCATCATCATCCTTTCGTTATTCCCAAAGTTCCCATAAGCATGGACTTGGCCACATGAATTCTTTTTCTCCATTCCTTTCTATCTCCCTTCCATCCCACTGACTATCACTTTTTAATGTTGTTCTTAATAACTTCGTTAATTTTGGTTGTCCATTCCGTCTCTTACCTTCTATGGAAATTAAACTTCCTCTTCTCACCGGCGCATGTATAGGTCTCCGGCGTATGGGCCCAAACCACCGTAGTCTACTCCCTCTTATTTTCTCTTTGATGGGTGGCACACCAATTTTTCTCTTAAGTTTTCATTTGTAACCCTATCTCTTCTAGTCACTCCAACCAACCATGCAAGAGGCCTGTCTCCACATCAAATGTTAACCCTGGATTGAATGTGTCTCCCACTTCTTACTGTAACTTAGATTGTGCGTATAGGTCCGTAGTGGCTAGATCCAACGCAGAAGTAGAATACAGGGCTATTGCTCATGGAGTATGTGACCACATGTGGATTCAGACCTTGATGAGTGACTCGGGATGATGGTTCTATGAGACTTTATTGTGACAATAAAACTACCATTAGTATTGTTCTTAACCCAGTTCAACATCATAGAATGAAGCATATTGAGAGCGTGCCCTTCTTGAAGTTAGAAAAACAACTAGCTGATGCATTCACTAAGGGTTTGAGATGTAATTCCTTCCATCATATTGTAGGCAAGTTGAGCATGAGAGATATCTTTGCACCAACTTGAGGGGGAGTGTTGGAATATGTGGGAATATTCTTGTGCTGAGCATAATTAGTGGCCGTAATTAGTAGGATTTTACTACGTGGGTATTATTGAAAATTATATTTTTGACTAATATAAATACATGGGTATAGTGATGTCATAATCATTCTACAACTCTTTCTTGCTTTCTCTTTTTCCTTCTTTGTCTTCTTTGTTTTCTTTTCAAACCCTAATCATCCAAATCCTAAATATAATTTTAACTAAAGGAGTGCTGATGACAACCATCATGAGGTTGACCTCATGGTAGCCTTGCTCTGTTTGTTTATACTCATGTTTTAAGCATCCAAAACTCAGCCTACCCTATTTAATTTTTCATATGCTTGCTGCAGTGTTGGGAATTCTGAATATCTGTCTGCTTTGCTGAAGGAGCGGAAAATCCCCCACAATCTCCTCAATGCGCGACCCAAGGTTTATTTTAAATTAACTTTGGAGAACTCTAAATGCTTTGTCATTGTATGGGCTTTCATGCTTCTTTTGCTGGCAGTTGTTGGACCTGTATGTGTATATATTTCACCATTCTGTTTTTTATGTAACACACATATATATATTTTTCATCCAGTACGCTGCTAGAGAGGCTGAAATTGTTGCTCAAGCAGGGCGAAAATATGCAATTACCATATCCACAAACATGGCTGGCCGGGGCACTGACATAATCCTAGGAGGAAATCCAAAGGTTGGGCATACTTCTTAATATCTGGTTTTGAAGTGGTAGATCAATCAAATATTGTGTCAAACCATTGTTTATATTTTAGGGGCTGGATGATGAGCAGTTCTCATTCATCTACGTCTATTCTTCTCATATAATTTAGTTTCTTCTTATTGTGAAATTTTGCTTTGATGATTACAAGTTCATTAGTGTATCCTATTAGGAATTATGCATGAATTTTACACTTATTTTGGTCAGACATTTTTCAGATGCTTGCAAAGGAAGTTATAGAGGACAGCTTGCTTTCATTTCTTACACAAGATGTGCTTAATGTTGAAGTTGACGGCGAGCCAATTTCACAAAAGGTGATTGTCTGTGGTATTATTAGCCGCTAAACGAATATAATTGTTTTCTGTGATATATTCATGTAGGTATTGTCAAAGATAAAGGTTGGACCATCATCATTAGCTTTGCTAGCTAAAACAGCTCTGATGGGTTAGTAACCGTCTTCTACTCAAAGCCTATTGCAGATTCAATATGTTCTTGAAATCATTTATGTTATCTATGTTTATTCTTTTGTTTATGTACTACTTTTTGTTACTCTGTTTGAAATGATTCACACAGCCAAGTACGTAGGCAAAAGTGAGGGTAAGCGATGGACATATCAGGAGGCCAAGTATATGATTTCAGAGTCTATCCAAATGAGTCAGTCAATGGATTTGAAAGAGCTAGAGAAGCTTATTGATGAACAATCTGAAACGTATCCCATTGGTCCTTCCATAGCAATTGCTTATCTCTCAGTTCTAAAGGACTGTGAAGTACAGTGTCTCAAAGAAGGATTGGAAGTGAAAAGGCTTGGGGGCCTTCATGTGATTGGGACTTCTTTGCATGAGTCCCGGAGAATAGATAATCAGGTGAGTTTCTTACCTCTATGGAGAGTCTAGAAGCAAATTCTCAAATTTTGTAGTGTGGAAGTTACTGGTAATTTGTTATTCTTGTGAAAGCTTATATACATTATTGGACCCACTCACTAATAGCTTAAGCCTCAGGGCAACTGATACTCTAATATTCTAATATGTCATTAAAGTTTAGGTTCTAGTTGGACCAACAGGCCTGTGGCCTAGCGGTACAAAGCCCCTACTTCCCAAAGGGAGGTTAGGGGTTTGAACCTCAGTGGAGGCAGTGTGTGTGAGTACCAACTAAGAAAAAAAAAAAAGTCTAAATAAATTTATATTGAATAAATATTTTACTTATCAAGAAAAAAAAAAAAAAAAAAAGTTTAGGTTCTAGTTGGTCTTGGATTCCAAACTCTCCATCTGCATTTGTATTTGCTATATATTCTTTCTTGTTTCCCTCACCATGTGTGAGATGAGGTTGCTCATCAGTAAGGGTTTGAGCATGATAGTTCGTCATTGGGCCTATTCCTTAGCAGCTCAAGCTTTTGAGATAATTGGTAGTCTAACTTGATATTGGAGCTTTGAGTTTGGGGAATCTTAGGTTCATGTCTCTCCATCTGCATTTGCATTCATCGGCATTTCTATGTGCGAGATACGGTCGCAAGTGAGAAAGGGTTGGAAAGCTTGATATGCATAGTTGAATCTGTTCTATAATAGTTTAACGCAATTGGATCTTAACATTTATGTGAGGTCCTAGTCTTTTATAATAATCACATGTGATGTAATTCCTTTGCTCTGAAGCGTAAAAATACAGCATGTAATTAGCTATGCAATGTACCTAAATGTGAATGTGTCCTGTGATACAAGGTTCTTACTTTCTGCAAATTAAAAGTGAAACCGGTGGCATATTGCAAAATTTGTTGCTATATATATATTTATTTTTCTAAACTTCTTTATAGCTGTCAGCAGTATTTGTTAACTCATACTACTCACATGTACATGGAGAAGTGCTAAAATGCATGTATGGCCCATCGCTGTTGTTGTCTTTGTCAATATCATCGACATCATTAGCCATCATCTTAGTCCAGCTACTGGGATCTACTGAAAAATCCTCCTCAACCGGTGACCAAAAAAAAAAAAAAAAAGAGTGAGAAACAGATCAGTATTTAATAGTCAGCTTCAGAGAAGATGGCGAAGCTCTTTATTTTTGGTATTGCATGTCTCAGAAATATTTTGAGTTTCCTTTCTTACATCTTCAATCATTATTTTTTACTTCGTGTTGGTTTTTGAGGGAGGCTGGAGATCTTTCATGGAGCATGAATGACTTGTTGAAGTTCTTTTTTGGTAAAGCATATACCTTGTGTGAGCATCAGTAATGTCCGTACAATGCGTGTTCTATGATCTGTACCTTCTCTTTATGCTTGATAACTTTTTGTCCCCTCTTTTTGCACTGAATATTGCTGCCTAGAATTTTACTTTGTATATTTATAGCTAAAAAAGAAAATAAAAAAAGGATGGCAATAATAATACGTACTCCCTCCGTACTTAACAAAAAAAAAAAAAAAAAAAAAAAAAAAAAAAAATACTCCCTCCGTCCCATATTATAGTTGTCCTTTCCATTTTGGGTTGTTCAAAATACTTGTCCCCTTTCAAAAGTGAAAGCAAAGTAAATGTAGTCTTCTCATAATTTTTTTTTTTTTTTTTGATAAGTAAAATGTATTAGAAAGCGTTCAAACAGGGAACACGTCCCAAGAGCTATACAGAGGCCAAAGCCAGAGACAAGGTACTAAGGTCCCACTAAACCCAAAAATTCAATAAACTCATCAATGGATATACAATTTCTCCCCAAAACCCAACTAAAAAGAGGAGCTAATAATATGAAACTTCAAAGCCCCTAAGGAAGATACCTCCCCGTTAAAAGACTTTCTATTCTGTTCCTTCCATAAGCACCATCAAACATAAAGGGGAACCACCCTCCAACACTCATGGGCGTGGGCTCCCACACTACAGCCTTGCCAAGCGCCAATCTAACCCCTTGAGGACCGAGGCATAACCCAATGGACGCCATAAAGGCCAAAGATAAGGTTCTAACAATCGTAAGCTACATGGCAATGCAAAAGAAGGTGATCCACAGACTCACCACTCCTCTTGCATAAATAACACCAATTGACTGTAATCTGTCTTTTCTTTCTCAAATTATCCAAGGAAATTAGAATCATGAAATCAAAGAGATAACGGAATAAGGAATGAACCTCGAATCTCCCTTGAGAGGATGGCACGCAAACCAAAGAGTCAGTGCCACTACCATGTACCTCCTGTCCGTATAACAGGTCCAACAAACTTGCAACCTCATCCAACTCCCAATCCTGAAAGGAAACCCGAAAACGCACATCCTACATGAGCGTACCGTTATTGAGCCTGATGTAGAACAGGTCCTTACGATTATCTGAGCATACAGGATCATTGCAAATCAGGGAGGCTGGAAAGGTGAGGACAATAGAAGGAAAAAAATAAATAAATAAGGAAAAGTCAAAAGGAGATTTGGTGTAGTTGCCAACAATAGAAGATATTATTCTCCATTGCAAGAATTAAGGAAGATTTAGAAAATAAATAAGAAGATTTGGTGTAGTTGCCAACAATAGAAGATATTATTCTCTATTGCAAGATTTAAGAAGGATTCTGCTCCATCAAATCTCAGATTTCCCCTTTCATATTATTTCACGCATGCTTTCTTTTTTTATTTTATTTTTGACTTGCCTATATAAAGGCAAGAGATGTAAGTCTATAGACATCATCATTATCAACATAATTTCAGTTTCTCTATTATGAGTGTGTTCTTTGTGAATTCAAGGGTTTAACCCTGGTTCTTTATCGTTTCCGCTATGTTAGTTGGTATCAGAGCAAGGTTCTGAATCCAAGATTCGCCTTTGTTTTCGATGGCCAGTTCATGAGATGGAAGCAACCCCCTCCAGTGACTGTGATCGTGATGGAGTAGGTCTTTTGAGGGCTGAGTTTATTGTGTTCTAGACACCAGCATTAATTGAACCTTACTTGATATGCATGAAACTATGCGTCAAGTATTGGCAAGATTGACAACGGTAGAACTTAACCGTGCGAACAATAGGCTGCCCAACGACGGTGATCATGGACGCCCTGCTGGTAATCGCAACCCAAACCCACCGAATAGGCAATCAGCCTATGAGGAAAATGTCGGTTTTGGTAAAACTGAGCTGTACAGGTGTTTGGAGATAATCGAGGTCGATGGGAAATTGATGATTTGAGGGATTTTCGTATGAAGATTGACCAACCCACCTTTCAAGGTCATCTTCGTATTGAAGAATTCTTGGACTGGATTAGTGAAGTTGAACGTTTCTTTGACTATATGAAAATCAAAGAGGTGAAGCAAGTCAAACTCGTGGCCTGTAAGTTGAAAGGCGGTGCATCAGCATGGTGGGATCAAGTGCAAACTACCTGCCCACGTGAGGGTAAAGATCCAGTACGTACATGGGTTAAGATGAAGAAGTTGATGAAAGCTCGATTTTTACCCCCTGATTACGAACAGGTTTTTTATCAGAAATATTAGTCCTGCACGTAGGGAAGTAGAACGATTGCTGAATATGCTGAAGAATTTTATCGGTTATCATCTTGTAACAACCTGGTGGAACCCGAATTTAGCATGGTGGCTCGTTTCAAAGGCGGTTTAGGATGGGATATTGAAGAGAAAGAGGCGTTGCAACTTGTAACCGCTATTCAAACTGTCTGAGATTGTCACGGCGGTAGAGATAGCAGAATCGTTACTGGAGAAGTTGAAGAATCGGCCTCGTGGTTCATATAATACCCCACGTCTTACACATGACATGGGTAAACAAACCACGGTAGCCCCTGTTCCAATGACATGGCGAGGCATTTGAGATGGTCCAACAAAGGCCAAACCCGCAGCACCCGTAGGCCTTGCTGTAAGGGGAGCCCTAGCTGTGAGAGAAAATCCCTAGGCACACCCAAGTATGGGCAAGTGTTTTTGATGTGGAGAACCTGGCCATAAATCCAACAATTGCCCCAGGCGATTGACAGTAAATCTGGTTGAGCATGAGGAAGGTGAGGGTGAGGAAGGTGAGTTCCTTACCTTTGAAGAAGAAGAGGTGACTGAAGGAGACAATGGTGAGTTGTTGTCCCACTCTTTAGTTGTGAGGAGGTTGATGTTCACGCCAAAGGAGGAGGAGCACCCACATTGTCATAATGTGTTCTGTACACGTTTCCTTAACAATGGTTCGAAAATTGGGGCTTAAAACAGAGAAACATCTCCATCCATACAAAATTGGATGGATCAAGAAAGGCTAAAAAACGCGAGTAACTGAAACCTGCACCGTTCCATTCTCAATTGGGAAAGCATATGCAGAGGAGGTGCGTTGTGATGTAGTCGACATGGATACATGCCATATGATATTGGGCAGACCATGGCAATTTGATGTCGATGCCACTCACCCTGGTAGAGACAATGTGTATATTCTATACAAGAATGGTCAGAAGATTGTTTTCCGCTAAAAGAAACCGAATTTCCCAAAGGAAATTCAGTTATGTTGATCAACAGTGAGGAATTTTTGGGCAAAGTAACAACTGCCTTGAAATCTTTGCTGTTATGTGCAAGGGGGAAGTAGTTGAACAACCTCCTTTTACAGTACCGGCAATAGTGCAGTCATTATTGCAGGAGTTTAGTTGGTTGGTGTCGGAAGACTTGCCTGATAGTCTCCCTTCCATCAGGGACATTCAGCACCACATTGACTTGGTGCCCGGGGCGAGCCTGCCAAATCTACTACATTACCGGATGAGTCCCAACGAGAGTCAGATCTTACAAGAGCAAGTGGAAGAGTTACTATTGAAAGGGTTGATTTGGGAGAGCATAAGCCTATGTGCTGTTCATGCCTTGCTAGTATTGAAGAAAGATGGCAGTTGGAGAATGTGCGTTGATAGTCGCGTAATTAACAGAATCATTGTCAAGTATAGATTTCCCATTCCACGGT